ACTGTTACAGACAGCCGACGGTCGTGGTCTTTTTGAACCTAAAGGCTACATTCGATTCAGTTGCTTGTAACGTTCTCTGAAACTGTCGTATTCGCAAAGGAGTACCGGAAAAGTACGTGATTCTGTTGAGGTCACTGTATGCTCACTCTGTAATCAGGGTGAGAGTTTACGGACAACTGTCTTAGGCGCTGTTCACTTCTAGTGGTGTCCGTCAGGGGTGTTCGATTTCCCTCTTCTTTTTCAATGTTGTCATGGACGAAATTCTGGAAAGTGCGGCTGAGCAGTCCATCGAGCATGGTCTTGAGCTTCGTCCTGGAGTGAGGTTTACCGATCTCGAGTATGTTCCGAATTTGCAACTATTAAAAAATATTGCTTACTTCTGCTGTGAGAATAGTTCGAATAGTGTAGGAGTGGACGATTGTCTTCTGCCGATATATATATATATATATATATATATCACGCTTAGGGCAAAAACGCACTGACTTCTCTGTGTTTCCAGGACCGTAGCAACAACTTTATACGATCTCTTTTCATGTCAGAGATACTGGCACTGCCACCAGATGTTCTTCGCTCTAAGCAGGTCACCTGATTGACTGTTGACCAATTCTCCAACTTCTAGTCATTGAGTCCCCTAAGTACAAGAACTATGACTCCGCAGTCACCCACTTTGGAACAGCCGTGCATTATGGTTTAACCACTAGATTACGTACTGTGTAACCAGATAACGTTCCTGTCGTTGGTTTGGAATTCAAAATGTTCAAAATTTACCAGATTACTCATCAGTAATATGGACTCACGTCACTAACTGCCAACTAATTGGGCTAGGCAGCTGTCTGTTCGTGGTCAAGTTACCCGTTGTTTCTGACAGTAGATTCTTTCACACTGATGCTAAAGCGATAGCTAAGACAATTTATTCTTTATGTCCCCGTGGTTTTTGATAGGTTAACTTTTTGACTACGCTTTCTGCTTTTTCTTCGCGTTCTCTTCATGACATAATTGGTTCCCACCAGTATATTTCCATCATCTGTTTTTGTGAGGGAATCACCGGACTAACTTGTCACGTGTTACATTTTAAGCCTTCTTGTCAAGAAATCGAGCGATTCCTGCATGATGATTTTGTTTTCAGTCATTCTAACTGTTCACATCCGTCTTTAACCTCAGTGTTGTTTCAGGATTTCATGTGATCGCGCATGTTAAACTGCGTGCCTATAACTAGCGTTTCATGTGTCGTCAGGTCACTTTCGGGAGGTATTTTCGTGTTATCTCATCAACTATCACATGAGTTTCTCGTGAAACGTCACATCTAGTAGGAAGTTAATTGATAATCTTATTGATCTGACGCTACCGTTGTACTTAAGTGACAGTGTTTATGTTGCGAAGGGTTGGTTGACGATTGATCTAGCTTCTTTATAGCTGGTTTGATATCTTGACCTTACTTTCTTTCATATTTATATACACTTAACCTCCTAACATGTCCCACATCTCAATCAATTAAGGGAGCGTTGCATTGGAGGATGTGCTACTTTTGACGGCGAAGATTGTTGGAGTCATTGATAAGTTGTTTCTTTTTCATTAAAAAAATTGCTAGAACTAGATTTGTGTTAGAAAACCATGTCAGCGGGACTTTGGTTTGAGATATCAGAACGCCCTGATAATTTTCATTGCTAGAGTGGCTGAATATCTCGTGTTTGTACTATTCTTTGGATAATTCTTATTTTAATGGTAGTCGGCCATCCGTTATGCACTGTTGGAAAGCGGTATATCAGAGAAGACTTTCAAGCGCTACAACGTTAGATGAATCTTTTTACTCGCAGAGACCGCTCGTTCGATGTGCGAATGTGCTTAATCTGGGACAACCCACTAAAGTTTACCGTTCCAACCTCACTAATGAATGGGTTCATATGCAGACTCGATGCGTTTGGCCAGAACACCAAGCAGAATGTTCAAGCAGGTTTACTAGCAGATACATTTCGGTAGGATAAAAACACGCTATATTTCTCACTTGCCATCAGTTCGCACATTCTCACTGTATGCTGAGGTACGCGTGTAGTACGCTCGATATGCTTCAGTTGGGTTTATCTTCTGCCGATTTTTCTTTACGTTATCCTTTGTAATCATATTACCGAACTTCTAAATTCAAAGATGTTTACCAATTTGTGTTAGCTGCCAACCTACACATCCAGCTTTCTCCAATATGTAAATTTCATATGAATCCTATTTTTCCACTCATCAACCAGTTGTCTTTTATGAAAATTACTCGAAACAAAACAAGGCAAATGGTGCACCTGGAACGGGCGCACATTTTCTGGGAAACAAAAAGTTAATCGCATTTGTTTCCATTATCATAAAAAAATTTAATTTCAGAAGTTCTGTAAGCACTGCAGAAGCAATCCAGGCCAACTTTTTGTAACAGTCCAGCTTCGGGAAGAAAATTTCTTGGTCATAACTTTGAACGTCGGCACTTTTGACAGGGGGCTGTTGTTCACTCCACTGAGTTGTATTGTAAACTTCCATATGTGACGTCAGTCCTGGTATCCGAGAAGTGTGCGAGCGTCTATTCAGTCCAGCTTGCGAATGTTTGGCCTGATTATCATCTTGACAAAATTTCACGCTTTTTCCTGCCATCTGCTGAACCTTTTGTAGCTCAAGCGAATGGAAAACACATCAATATAATATCGAAATAATCTGTGATCCTCTTAGAAAATGTGGCAGCCTATTTGAAGCCCTCTCTTTGTTGCCGACTGTATTTTTGTAAGCATATTTTAGACCATCATACCCAGTGTTTTTCTGTATACCTGCTGTTCTGCGTGCTTGGTATATTTGGCCAAATAGAACTTGGATACAACTTTTTACACGTATATATCCCATTGCAAGCAAATACTATGCACTTTTCCGTTGGTTTGCTCCTTCGCAAACTGCTAACAGTTCTTGCATTCTCATCTTTTTAAATACACAAATATTAGATAGTCTTACTTTTGTTATTTCCAATCATGCCGAACTAACAAATTACTAGACATGTTAGCTTATTTTATAGGGAGATGTGTAATACCACGTAATTCATATAAATTGATCGCACTGGCGCGGTGATGTAGACTATGAAGAACATTGCGCGCTGACCTGATCTTACAAGCTTCCTAACAGAATTGTACAAATGGTCTTCGATTGTTTACCACTGAGTAACGGCTGTGCTTGCCAAGATGGGTGTGTGTAATGTGTGTGAGGTACATCGCTCCGTTCCAACTCTGTAGCGTGTTTTGGACTACCGTTGCTCGCTAGCGTTACACCACTAATACGTAGATTGAGATATGATTTGCTAGCTTGGTATATCAACTGGCAGGACCTTTTGAACTGGACCGTTTCAATTTTGTCAGTCAGTTGAATTGTGGAGGTTTTCTGAAATCACTTGCTCAATTGTAAATACTACCCGCGTATCTCAAAAGTAAACAAGGTGGAACTACAGTGCTTGTCCTTCTTCGGCCAGCCAACCGAGCTCACGACTGAAGCAGCTGTGCTGCTAGTGGTATGATAAAACCGCATCAATGCAGGAATGAACTACAGGGTTGTATGAAACATCCGGGTGTTCAGATTAAATTCAACATTGTGGGATTCCTCTCCCAGTTGTGAAGCAACGTTAATATTGGTCTCAGTGATAAACTATTGTCATTTCTAACGTGAGCCACTGATTTGGGTGAATCATGAGTGCAGATTTTTAAACTAAAGTCAGATTTCCGATGCGACCATCCAAAACTTCATTGTTTACCTAACTATGCTGATTGGACGTGAGTTAACCAATTAAGCTGCTTGGATCATCATTAGATGGCGTCCATCCTTCCATTTCTCCTTCGAGTTTCTTCTTAACCAATAAACATAATGCAGTTGTGCGGCAATTTCAGACGAAAAATATGAATGCGTTTTATTTCTTTTTATATATCATTGGTTTGGAAAAATCGACAACGGGAGTTTAGAACGTTCGGACACATAATTTCGTCTTCAACACCTGCATTATCATTTCGATTTTAGTGGAATGACAGTAGTATACGAGTGCAGTTGCGAAGGGCGATCTTTCTATACTAAGCATATCACTGCTATTCTATAGTGGGCGCCAGAGCTTATATTTTGACATTGAAGCAGTCACAGGGAAAATACAAAAAGAAACACCGGAGTAAATCATCACATGAAGTGGTTCTTAGTACGGAAAGGAACGTAAAGGAACTGCGCATTGACGTCTGTGGCATCCGTGACAGTCTGAGCCCAGTACCGTACGCAGATGAGTGTTTGTTTGTTGTTTTGTTGAAACGCATAACACAAGTGTTGCTTTCCTGAATAAATAATCTTTGTGCCATCCACGTTCTCGAACCACAACACTGGTTATATCTAGGATGTTGTTATCAATTGTTTCATGGATATGCCTTTGGAAAAGTTCCGACCACTCGTGAAAGTGTTCACATCTTACTTGCTAAGTAATATCCACATACGGTGGGCGTTCTGATTCTGAGGCGCTTGCAGCGTTTCTGTAAACCTGCATGCTTTTTGACAGCCTGAAATGTAAGGTGGGATTTTGCACCGTTGATTGGACGGATGCTTCAGGTTGACGGAATCAGTCATTCTCCGGACTTTTAGACGAGATCTAATTGCGAAACATCTGGACTTCGACTGAATTCCAGTCAGCGACGGAAACAACATGCCCAAACACGGCAAATGTTGTACAAGCTGAGCTATGAAGTCACGCCGGAAGCTGACAAATTTAACATTCGGACCTAGTTACCCACCCAACCAACCGTGTCGTATGGAATCCACCAAATGATCCAGCCGATTGAATGCTCAGGCAAGATTTCTCGATCAGTTCACGGTGAAGTCCACCAACGCCACCGATGAGCATTGACACTGAATTACTGATAAGTAGTTTGGCAGATTTGATAATTTAGAAGAGACCCGATCGCGAAAAGTCTGGACTTCGGCTGGACTCGAACCAGTGACGGAAATCTTTTAGCTTCCGGTGTGACTTCGTAGCTCAGCTGGTAGAGCGTTTGCCATGTTTTGGCATGTTGTTCCACTCGCCGGTTCGATTCCAGCGGAAGTCCAGATTTTTCGTAGCTGGGTCTCTTCTGAATTATCAAATCTGCCAAACTGCTTATCCTTCGGACTGTCGATTGCTGATTCGACTGTGTGTATGCCATCACCTTATTCATTCATTTGCTATATACATCACTTCATTATAGAACTGTCTTCCAATACGCTATACTTCTTACTCCCTCGATTAAAAGGAAGTTTTATTTAATGACTGGTGTGTCTCTACTCAGGCTACGACCTGTTTGTGTATACTACCGAAATATCGTGGTATTGATTACCAGGTTTTATTATTTGACGACGTGTAAAAACATCTGTCATGGTACACTCACGTGTGTCGTATAACAGGCAGCTTCGTTTATGAGTAGTATGGTGTGCATATTTGGGAACTAAAAGACAAGTATCAGTGCCAGGAGACGATGGACTCGAGCTGACTATAGGAATCGTGTGTACGCACTATGGGGGACGTACTGTCAGGACGAACGGCAATGTACTGCTGCCCAATGTACGTGAATACACGTTAGCCGTGCAAATGAGTGTACGCGTTCGTCATCCTATGTTTTAGCATAGCCTGTACGGTTTTCTGTGCGATAATCAGCTTTGCAAGCCAAACCCTTTTTTACGGTCACAACACCAGCATAGCTTTGTTGTGTTGCATGAGAAAAGTTGTCACTTTTTTCTTGGAACCTTTGGACAGTAGACGTTTCTGGATGGTGTGAATTTATTACCTATGTTGCAGCCAAATACCATGCTTTCAGTGACCTACAAAATTAAATTACTGCTGCATTCTCTGGGCAGTGGGAGCCAACGATATTTTGGTGCACTACACATAAGCAGTAAAGAGAATATTACTGACGCACTGACCGAGTTGTGAGGAACACGCCAACATACTTACACTACGAGTTACTGTTTCACGAAGTTACATCAAGCTCCAGATTAAAGTATAGACTTCATTGCAAGCAATCAACAAGCTGTGCCTGATTGCCGTTACAACCAGATTTTAGCCACCGAATTCGACGAATTAATATTTCTACATTGCTTGATTTCGGATATCAGAACGAAGTAGCACATGAAAGTCTACTGTCATGAAATGAATCTACTTTGACTTTGGAGAAATCTTACATAATTGCTCGACAGCATTACTAACCAGTTAACCATGTTTTCATAGCAGACGAACACAGATGTTCTTCAGGTTGTTGCCAGATCAACTGATGGACCACTTAAAATCTCTAGCAAATCATTTATATGCCATCGATGTGGTGGCCGGCACTCTTCGGCCAACGTGTGCCGCCACAAGGAGACACATTGTCACGCGTGTGGAAAAACTGGACATCTGGCTCACGTGTGTCGCACGATAGTTTGTCGATTGCAAAAGTATAAACCACCGTAAAATCCGTCGACGATGCCACTGAAGGTGACCCCAAGTTTAGCAAAGTTTGGTATACTATGCTTGATAACTGTTATCGACATTAATCCTATAAGATGCAACTGAAAATCGAGGGACAACCCATTCTCATGGAGTTTTATACCGGAGCTTCCGTAACGATAATAAGTGCTGCATCTGTCAAAAATTTGCCAAAAATTTCCGTTTGTCAGTTGATCCTACGCACATATACTGTACATCCGTTTTCTATATTGGGAAAATGTACCGTTCTCGTTCAGTATGGCAGCGGAAAGCGAACTTTACCAGTTTACGCTGTGTCTCAAAATTGCCCTAATCTATTGAGGCGGAATTGGACCGAATGTCTGCCAGGTACGTTAGATACCGTTAAAACCGTCGCAGAGCAGCCGAAACTTGCGGAAATTCTGTTTGAGTATTCCGGTGTGTTTGAGGCTAAACTTGGTAAATATAATGGACTTGAAGCCAATATAAAACTGACTACCAATTTCCAACCTCAGTTCTTCTAAGCACGGATCTTGCTGTACTCCTTGAGAGCAAAAGCCTAACAGGAACTGACTGGAATACAAAACGAAGGTAACATTATCTCTGTTCAGCATATCGAATAGGGGACCTCAGTCGTTCCTGTTGTCAAACCATATGGATTTTTGCGAATCTGTAGTGATTATAAATTAACCGTAAACCGCTTTTCTGTACTGGACAAATACCCACTTCCCCGAATAGAGGACTTGTACGCTACACTCGCCGATGACGAACGGTTTCCAAAAATTGACCTTAGTCATGCTTACTTCCAAGTGGAATTTGATGAATTCTGTCATGTTTGCACTACACTTATTACAAACACGGGCCTTTTTCAATACTCATGATAATCTTTTGGTATTAATTGGGTCCCGGCAATTTTCTGAAGGATTATAACAACTTGGTAAAATTGTTCCCTTCACCTGTACATATTCAGATGGCATCCTTATCACTGGGTCCACAGCATCCGAACATTTACACACACTGACTAGCGCTTCACTGTCTTCAGCAAGTCAGATTCAAGTTGAAGAAGTCGAAATTTGAGTTCTTTGCTGACCGTTCATTATCTCGGACACCGACTTGTCAAAAATGTTCTGCATATGTTGAATGACAAACTGCAACCCATTCTTGGTGCACCGGAATTTAGAAACAAAGCTAAGCTTCGTTCATTTTTAGGAATGCTGACACATTGTCGCCGTTTCCTGTCGAATGTTTTCACAACACTTTCACCCCTGTATAGATTGGTACACAAAAATATACCCTTGGGCTTGGGGCATGTTCAGGTGTTTGTTGATGCAAAAATGAAACGGAGCACTTCTTCACTTCTCATCCGTTACGAGTCACGTAAACCACTAATATTGAAATGCGATGCTTCCCCATCGGGGTTGGAGCATGTGGCAAGCCTGTGGGAAAAGTGATCGATCAACTTGTGAAGAACAGATACTAACACCCCTGCAATCTTCGTCTTGGGCTACTTCCATCGTGACTCCGTTTGAACGTGACGGTAAAAACGCCTCAAATTTGCGGTGATTACCGACTCATGCTCAGCAAATTCCTTTTGCCGAGGTATTGTGCCACTGTTGAACCAGAGGACATTCTGCATCAATTTCATGATTCAAAATATTTTTCCAGTTTTGATTTGAAATAAACATTTTAGCGGATTTCGCTTGACGAGACTTCCAGAGTTCTGACGACCATCAATACTCCTGTCGAATTGTCTCGGTATAATTTTCTGTCCTTCGGTCGGAATGTATCACCTGCTCTATTTCAGGATGTTATGAACACCATTACTGCTAATCTATAGGGTGTTTCCATTTTCCAGGATAATATTACTGTGCATGCTCCAACTATGCCTATTCATGATGAACGATTGTATGCTTTACTCGAGCGTTGTCGCTCCTTAATCATTGCCAGTAATTCTTCCAAATGTATGTTTGGTACCTCCAAGTTCTCATGTTTAGGGTTTCTTGTTGAAGAGAATGGTTATCGTCCTGATCCCGATCGTTTTTTACTTCTATCTAGAGCATCCACTTCAAAGACTTTTAATGAGTTTCGTTTCTTAATGGGTTCTCTTCAGTGTTATTCTCTAATCATTCCCGATTTCGCCGATAAGACAAAACCTTCGTTTGATCTTCTTCCTCGATATAATTTTGTTTAGACTGACATACACAAACGAACTCTCCGAGTTCTGTTGAGGCTTTCGTCTTCCGATGCAGTGTTACTTACGTTCTGTCCAAGATTACCGTTAACCTTGATTTCTGATGCGTCACCAATGGGTATTGCAGGTTTGCTAGAACAACTGGGCTGTCCTGTTATTTGCCTTTCTAGACGCCTCAATTCAGCAAAGCGTGGACATGCGCAAACATAGAAAGAAGCATTAGTGGTTTACTTGTCGATCACCAGACTTCACAAATACTTGTTCGGTGTTGATTTCACTATAGCTATTGATCATGAAGCTCTTGAAATCATCAATAATCCTAATAAATTCCTTGCCAATTCTTCTTCGGCCATGGTTTGGCGATGGAGTGTTACCTTGGCTGCGTACTTTTATAACATTTAGCATCGCAGTGCAACATTCATTCCTCATGCTATCTATCTCGGTATGTCGGTTCCGGTGAGGGTGGTGATTCAGACTGTTTATTGACTCAGTCACTTCCAATCTCTCGTTCTGATTTGATTCGTGACACTCGAAAATATCACCACGCAATTTTTCCTTCATCACGTACTGGCTAGAACTGAGGTGTCCGGCGAAGATTTCCTGAATTCTACAAACGTCGAGACGAAGTCTCTGTTACTTCCGATGGATTATTTTGTCTTCGTCATAGAATTGTTATTACTCCCATATTACGGTCCACTGTACTAGAAGATCTACACTACGGTCATTTAGGAATTGAAATAATAACATCATTGACCTGTCTGACTTGTTGGAAGCCAGAATTGAATGCTTATCTGTGTAACGTTTCTAAAGGTTGTGCTCAATGTGTATACAAAACGCAATCGTGACCAACAAAATAGACACCTTGGCCAACGACTTGTGAAGCCTGGCGACCATTTCAGTCCATTCTTGGATAAATACTATGCCTCGATTATCCTTGATTCATATTCACATTTACCTGGAGTTTATTTCACGTCGTCGGCAACTGCGGACTTCGCTCTGATCGCACTGCGAAAAAGGTTCAGTCGGGAAGAAGTAGCATGTACGTTGGTCAGTGACAATGCACAGAACTTTGAAGGCTAGCTGAAGAAAGTAGGATGTTAACATTTGCTCACTACACAGAAACATCCTCAAACTAAGGGTTCCGCTGAGAAATTCATGCGTATTCTGAAACGTGCGACCAAGTCTATCAACCCGTCTAATTTTGAAGAACTGGAGAATGATGTGGATAACTTCCTGATGTGATACCGAAACCCTGTCTACTCAACAACTGGGAGCGGTCCAGCTAAGTTGTTCAAAAACCGTGTTCTCCGAACCAACATCCTTAGTATGGAATCAGCTGAAGTTGTGTATCATGGTGGCAATGACCCTCGGTCATCTGGAGGAATTGTGCTTAATAAATTGAGTACTCTTGCAGTGAAGATTAGCGATCGTATTGTGCT